CCGGCTTCCGCTCAGCCTCCTCCTGCGCAGACATGTCCTGCGCATATAGCTCTCTGAGGGTGCATCTCCACATCATGGATTGAACTGTGCAACTTCCCAAGTTCACAGAGAGAGAGAGCCTGCATGCTCGCCATCGCAAAGCTTGAGGAATTTCGTGAGCGTGTCTTCATGCAAAAGTGCAGTCTGGAGCAAAGTGACCGCTCAATACGGCCAGCGTGGTGCCAGTCATGGGCGCACTTGCGGTCACTGTTCCACCATCCCACGAAAACTCCACCAACTTCAGGCCGACTGGGTCTGTCAGAGGCTTGACAATGATGCATTCTCCAGCCCTGCTGGCATACACAGTCATGTGGGGAACCAACTCCATATTCCCACACTGCTTTTTGTGGAAAGGAACGACGCCCCCACAGCCACTTGGCATGTACAGCGCACCTCCACAAAGTCGATGACGCCAAGCCTGCCATTGTGGCAGCTCTCTCAAGTTGCCATGCCTTTCTTCCCAATTGGTCCAGGCAGCCACAGTGGTACAAGCCAAGACGTGTGCCCACGAAATGTCAGTATATCCGAACAAACCTGACATGGGCAGCTCTATATATAAGGGAGAAAAGGGCCGCTCCACCGTCTGTCACCGCTTTCCTTGATGATTTCATATATGAAACGTACCTGATCCGTTCACATCTGACGTGAAAGGAGTGCGCGCAGCAAACCTATAAACATGCCGTGTAGGTGTAGATATGTATACGCATGGGCGGGCACACTGCCGTCAAACAATCATCTTCCATGAGCGAACACACCGCTGTCAAAACAGGTGAATGCAAAGTTCTTATATTGTCTTTCATGTTTTCCCAGGGCTCAATGTGACAGTGCCTGTCGTTATACCTCCGCGCTCCAGCGCATCCTAAAGCCAAAGCTCTTGCAAATCGCACAAGCTCAGGCAAAGAGCTTCGTACACCAAACGGCCCAGGGTCTCGTCCCTCTTCAAGTAGACAATTGGGTGTATATAGACTCTGCAAACTTGGCAGCTCCAAAAATCTCACCCTCTCGCACAACCAATGGCCACGGTGGTAGGTCAGCCATCCAGGGGCGCTGCCACAAGCAGACGGTAAATCGACGCAGCTTCGCCTGCTTCGCCTTGCAAAAGCACTTCATCTTCTTAAGCGCAGGGAGCGTCCTTTTCTTCCACAGCTGCTTGACTCTCTCCAATGCTGACAGCTTCATGCTATATATCTATTTGAGGCTGTAGCAACAAAAAACGTTGGGCCTTACGAAGCTGCGTGCGAAGGAGGACACTGGGCGTCTATACATGTGTGCATTATGCATGGGCAGGCGCACCGCCATCCAACCAACATCCATCCATGAGCGGACACACCGTTCTCAACGCATTTGAGAACAACATGAACGACAAATTCAGCCTGTTTACCCACAGAGGCTTCTCTGCAGCGAATCAAAGTCCAGAACTATGATTCAAGCGGTACTTGACGCGTGCACATCTTTCACGCAGGTCACCGAGTATCTGCTCCAGGTTGAACCTGAAATGGTCGAACATCCGTCGGCGGTCAGGTGTCAACAAAGACTGATCTTGAAGACTGTCGAAGACATCATCCAGCTGCCATATCAGCATGCTCACGTAGATGCGCGTGTGGTGAGTCTTCTCGAGCTCGCTGAGGTGCGCAGCCATTGCCCTTTCAGTTCTGTTCAGGCGCACCGAACCGTTGACACCAGCGCTGCAAAGAAATGTGTAACAAATTCAGACTTGCGCATGACAACGCCTGGATTATATACGCGCATGAGCGGCCACATCGTTTTTTTGTGAATTTCAATCGTGAGCGGGTGAACCGCTTGTGCCACAATTGTGCTTTCTGACATTCCTTTTCTCTACTGCTTACCTCCATACCACTGGTTGAAGAGGGCCTTGTTCGCCCCGCCTCTTTTCTTTTTGTAGCCCCATTTGAGGACAAAAATTTCCCGACTGGATTTTGGTGGCCTCGATTGGGCCTTCGCCACAGCTCCTGAAACTACATCAGCCTCAGCTGAATCAAATTCAAGCGAGTCACCGCCTTGCAACCCACTGGCGCAAGCCTCGGTCGATTCTTCTTGTTCTTCTCCTTCCTCTTCTTCAGCCCAGTCCCTGGCAAGATCTTCCCTGCCCTCATACATGCAGGCACCTTCTGGTGGTTGCAATGGCTTGGAAGCGCTGCTGGTGCTGCTGGCTTCTGTCACATCACTGCGTTGAGGATCTGCCTGATTCCATTCACTTTCTTCAACCCAGTTCTTGTCCTCGTTGGAATCTTCACTGATCGGAGCCCCATTCATTGCTAGCTTCTGGCGCGTCATTGCTTGGAGGATCGGCCCGGACAGGGCAGGTCGAGCTTGAAGTCATGAAACCACAGCTCTTCTAAGGTCAGGTGCTCCTCACATACCAGCTTCTCGCTGGCCACTTTGACAGTGAGGCTCGCATTCACCCTGTGGCCACATATCGCACATGTGACTATACTCTCCATGGCAATGGAGAGCTCCTTTACAGACGGAGTGAAACTATATGTCTTGAGCCAAACCACCTCGCAAAGCTAAAATGTGTTCTCAACATGTTTCAACACCATGAGTGGACACACCGCTTGCTGCTCTACAGTGGACCAGGACACTCGACAAAGCGAAGAAACAAGAAGAAGCATGAGCGGGCAAACCGCTATATAAATCGAAATCTATATATATATATGAGAAATTAAATACAAAAGGAAAAGCTGGCTAGTCACAGTCGGCAAAGACCATGATCCCCTTACCCCCTCATCACCGAATGTATGCATTGCATCCATTCAGAAAACCCTCATGGGTGAAACTGTGAAACCCTTTCTTCAACCAGCAGCTGTTGCAGCATCCGGGAACAAAGCGGCAGGTGGAGCAACCTTTCGGCATCATTTTCAAGCGCTTGGCCTTTGTAGGAATGCGTCCCCTGCTCTTGCGGCCCTTTTGCCCATGGACGGGCTCCTTCACAGCCTTCACAACCTTTTTCTTGCCGGGCTTCGCAACATCATTGCGCTTCTTTGCCTGCTTCGGAGCCTTCGCAACTTTGCTTGAGCAGGGCTTGGCATGCTTCGGGGTCTTCGCAACTTTACTTGAGTTGGGCTTGGCACCCCTACCCTTTTTTCTCAGCGTCCCTTTTTATCCGCCATCTCCTTCAACTTCTCAACCGACGTCTGAACAGCGCCAGTGGTGTGAGTGTCAGTGTCGGCTTTTGCCTTGCAGCTCTGCTTGGCCAGCTCAAGCAGCTTATGCTCAGCCGGCTCTGCTTCATGAGATTCAGGCAAGGGGTCAACCACAGGAGCTGCCTTCAGGACGAACTGCAGGACAGGATGCTGGAGTTTGAGGTTCACACTGAACAGCTTCAGGTGCAGGAAGTGCTGGAAGGGCCAACTGGCTCGCATGGCTTCTGACATACTTTCTCTCAAGCTGCCACTCATCAACTGGTTGGCGTGCGCGACACCCGCTCCCAATCTTCCTCTGCCTTGACCGCCAGTGAGGGTGATAGGAACATCATGCTGCCCATGCTGCTGACCTTGAGACATGTGCAAAAGAGTTTGCAAGAATCGAGAGAGACCGTTTTGTGGGGCATCGAGGGTGTCGACAGTCTGGCAGCTGACCTGCGCGCATTTGGTAACCCTCAACGGCATGCGTCTGAAGACCATGTGCAACTCACCTTCTTCTAAAGGAGGCTTGGCTGGCTCCACTCCGCCAGGGAAGGCAGCATTGCGAAGTTCCTCAGGGAGATCAGCAAAACAGGCAGGCAATTGTGGCAAGAACATTGTCGACTTTGGTGCGGATCTCATATACTGCTGCAAAGCTTTCTTGAGCCTCAAGAAGTTCGAGTGCAGCTGAAACTGGTTCTCCCTGGCAGGGCTTGCCCAAAGTAGCAATGTAGCTGACGTACCAAAACTTGGTTCCGAGGGCAACTGCAAACCTAGCTTGACCAGGTGGCCAAATAAAGCGTCACACTTTGAGTCCATGGAGTGGGTGGACAGTAGCTTCTGCCAAAGATGCTCGGTCAAAAAGTTCGGCGTGCGGGTGTATAGTCCTGAAGTGACTGCCTCTTCGTTCTTTGTGAAACAGTCTCCGGGTTTGGGGGAGTGGCTGCGATGCGCTCATACAAGGCGACAACGAGTTCCTTCTTCTCGTCCTCCACAAAGACGCTGCTCTTTGCGACCATTTCTGCTCCACGCTTGGCGGCTTCCAGCGTCAAAGGGTCCCAGGCTTTCAGGCTTCCCAGGAAATCCTTCAGCAAAGCCTCTCGGTCTTCGCTTTCAGAAAAGGTCCTTTCAAATCCTTGCAAGTCTTCCAGCAAGTGAGCCTCCATTTTCCTATAGCTATATTTCCGGCCTGCAACCTCAAACGCCTTGCCGCGCAAGTTTATATCTAAACATGTCGTTGGGGCGCCTGAGCGGGTGAACCGCTGAGGATAAGAAACACAAGAATAAGCGACAAAAAACTTGACGCGAGATCAAAAACAAAAAAGGGCTGAAGAGACAAAGAGTAAACAACGCTGTTTCCAACATGGCATGAGCGGGTGAACCGCTGAAGAGAAAAATAAACAACACCGTTCCCAGCATGGCGTGAGCGGGTGAACCATCTGGAAATCCGACCAAAGTCGCAAAAAAACAACAAAAACGTAAAGCGACAAAAACAAAAATAGCTTCAGTAAGTAGTTCATAAGTAGTTCGTAAGTATCGCGTGTGCCTACTTATTATATCTCCCAGGTAAGTACAATAACTTCCACTTCTACTTATGGAACTTGAGGTCTACTTGCGGGAACTTATCCTTATGTGTAAGTAGATGTTTCGCTGGTTATAACAATACATTTAAGTGCCATAACTAGGCTTGAACCACTAAGTAACAAGAAGCTAGTAGGAACAAGTGCGTCGCTACTAGGAACAAGTGCCTTACTAGTAGTAACAAGAAGCTGTTAGAAAACAATAAGTTTCTCTTCTCTTCTCTTTTCGCAATCCGAGGCCGGCGCCATGAGCACGAGCATGTCCGAGACGGTGCGCCAGCTAGTTTCTAGCACTGTTTTCGGTTTCACGGATTGGAGGATTGGTTTCGGTCTTTGGTTCCGCTATGGCCAGCGTCGCTCCTAGTAGCGATGCCCTTTGCTCCTAGTAGCTTCCTGTTTTTGCGCCGTTTTTTTTTCCCTTTTCGGATTTCCCTCAGGCCGATGGCGATGACGAGTTCTTTCCGTACGTCTCGTTATCTTTCATGCCGGACTCAGAGAAGACTCCACTCTAGTTTTGTTTCAACCCTACTGTCTAGCCTTGCTTGGACCTCTCATAGAGCTACTTGATACTCCCAAGCTGCCTCTTGAAAGACAGTCTGGTATCCAAGGCCATTTGCTGTCAATCGCGATGGGAAGTGATTGTGTGACGTGCTTTGCTCAGGACTCGAAGTCCGACGTCTCGGTGCGTTAAACGTGCGCCGTCTCGGCTTCGAAGTTTTCTCAGAAAGCCACCAAATCTCCTAGCCAATCTCCTTGCCTAATAGCGTCCTACTTCAGCTCAGTTTGGCCTTGAAGCCTAAGCCATGATCTTTCCGACGGGAGAGCTTCCGTGAAGAAAGCCGATGTTTTGCGTCCAGTTGGTAGTAGCTGTGGCAGCTACTTTAGCTAGCTTCTTACTCCTAGCTATTTGTTAGCTCTCCGCTTTCTCACAAATGGGTCCTGTCCCTATTCCCAAAATCTGCTCCCATCGCTGAGTGACGAACAACTTAGCCATCAACTTGACAGGTTCTTGGAACCGTAGCGGCCACCGGGAGCATAGGCTGGCTCTTCTCAAACAAATCGCAAGAGCGAAGTCAATCGGATAAGCTTTGGGGAATGTTTCCGACCATTGGCGGCCTTGCAATTTGTTTACCACTTGGGGCCGACTTCCCGCCGTTTAACGGTTTTATGCACTCCAAAAATGTGAAACTGGGGTTTGGTCTGTGACTTCCAAACACTACACTGTATAGCTGAGCTAACTAAGCACACTGTGTACTATTGGGCCTATACCAAGACACGACGTGTTCAGCACCTTTGGTGCACGCGGAGTTTGTTTGAATTTGCATATATGGAGAAGGGTCAAAAGGTAACATGTTTTTTCCTCGCCACTGAGGGACCGCATCGAGCGCATCCGCATTTGATTTTGAGGAATCGTGCAATCCGGATGCTTTGAGAACGCCAAAAGCGGAGCGATTCTTTCGTTTTTGTGTTGTCTTAGGTGGCTCTGGCGCGGTGTCTCTTATTTTTTGATATCTGTGAATCAAGTTTCAGGCTTCGTTCTGAACAGCTGAACATCAAGTCGTCTTGCACGGTAGGGCCCATCCGGTAAGGCCGGCTCGAAGGGAAAGGCATCGAAACGTGTGGTGCCATGGCCCAAAAGCCCTCGAAACGAAAGGCTCGGTGCATGTTTTTTGTGTTTTTCCGTTTTGGACGTTGGTCAAAACGCGAGGCATTGGGAACAAAGAAAGACAGGAGCCTCGGAACTTTGCGTTGGAGGTGTTTCCAGGTTTGAAGGCACAAGAGCTGGACACGTCTGAGTGTCTTAAGGACCAAACTGGAAGTCACGGATCAAGCGGTTGCTTTGTCTGACACAGAAGTGGCCGAGGCTGGAAGATCGCAAAAAACGTCGTTTTACACGAAGAGATGGATCCCGCGCGCGTGAGGGTTATTTCAAGGGTGCAATTTACGGGAATAAGCTACTAGGAACAAGTGCATCGCTTCTAGTAACAAGTGCCTTACTAGTAGAAACCAGAAGCTACTAGGAACAAGTGCATCGCTTCTAGTAACAAGTGCCTTACTAGTAGTAACAAGAAGCTATTAGAGCTCCATAAACAAAGCAGCCTTGAAGCGAAGGACGTATGACTGTCGTATGAGTCAGGTGAAAGGGTTGAGTTTTCCTTTTTTCGGGATTGGCCCATGTCGTTTTAGCAAATCAAGGTTCTTGATTGTGACCACAAAAATATGGACCAGTTGCAACAAATCTGAGAATTGTTTTCTTGTAGTGGGATGGCAGTTCGTGACGCACCGGTTAGTGTTGATTTTACAGAAAGCATTTGGACGTGTAGGGATTGTGTGCCTGATATTTGCAAGGTCCAAAAGAGGTTTGGCGCAGAAAACATGTGAGCCACAAGTTGCTTTTCGTTTGCTTCTTCTTGTGCTGTGACTTGCGACCACATCCATGAACATAAGCGTAGACAAAGACACCGTATGCAAGACACCGTAAGAGAGGAATTGTAACGCTAAAGGGCAGAAGGCCGAACAAGCGTGACCCGTATCCGGCAGCTTGGTATGTGGCTGTGAGGAAGGCCCTGTCACTGGCAGGTTTGGGTTGAGCCAACACGCATGGCACTGCTGAGGAGCGGGCAGAGAGAAGGACTTGTCAACCGCGTTCGCATGGTCCTGGCGCTGGTCTCTCATCACCAAGGTTCGCTCGATCTAGCGCAACACCTCCTTGTCTCCCGTTTCTTCGAACCGCTTTGAACACGGCGGACTCACGCGAAGGCGGCGCTTTCACATCATCTTCCAGCCCACAAGTTGGGATCGGAATGTTCTTCGAACGATGGTGCAACAAGTGCCTGTACTGGTTGGCGGTCAAGGAAGGTAACATAAGACCCCATCCCTGACCCGCTAGACCTTGTTGGCCACAAGGGCACGCATACAGGTGCAAGCTGTGAAGGGTTGAACAAGTCGATTTTCGGATGCAAAGCCCGCCTCCGCATGTCGTTCGCTGACGGGAGTCAGGTGCAAAATCGATGCTATCAAGGTTCGCTACGAACGGGGGCATCGCTACGAGCATTCTTACTAGCGTTTGAGTGCAGAGGAGCGCAAACGCCTCGGAAATCACCCTTTTCACCGAAAAAGAAAGCGCCAAGTCTGTCTCTTTCCGGTAGGCCACAGGTGAGTGATTGGCCAGGCTCGGAATGCGCACCTGAAGTCGGAACAAAGAATGATCTGTGGGTTCCTCGGTCCACGAATCATTTGAGTGGAGGCTATACGTTGGAGCAGCAAGCAATCCTGAGTGCCCTCATCCGAGGTCAACCACCCATTGAACACTGCCATGCTATCCCCCTACACAGCTCGAGGCATCAAACTGAACCGACCACATCACCTCTCAGGTGACGGCCCTCAGAAGCAAAAGCCCACGGCATATGCAAATCAGAGAAGCGGTTATTTTTCGACCTCAAAAGCGCCCACTACACTGGCCCAGTTTTCAAAACCTTGGAGGCGTTGGCCACCGTGCAGTTGAGGAAAAAAGGTAAGAGGTTCCATCGAATTGTTTTGCGCCTTGCGGATTTGCTTTTTCAAACAAGAAGCTACTAGGAACAAGTGCCTTACTAGTAGAAACAATTCGTTTCAGTCTTCGCAGGCATTGGCTGATGTGATACCTATGCTCATGGCGCCACCCAACATCTTGAACATCATGGAAAAGTTTCAGCAGCCGCTTTTGAAGGTGTGAAAAGTGTGTTTTTTTGTTTTAAATGTTATCACTACACGTCTTTTGTTCTTCTCTTTTTGTTCACTACACGTCTTTTTAACGTTCTCTCGTTCTGAGGCCGTGATCCCCGGAAGAGCCGGTCGCATCCCGACCCGACGCATGTTGCACTTGGCCAAGAAGAAGGTCTTAACGTTTCTGCAGAAAGAAGAGAAGAAGGAGAAGAAGGAGAGAGAGAAGATGATGAAACGAGTCGGAAATGGAAAGGAGTCTATGAAGTCTTCTACCTCGTTTTCCTCTTATCCGCTGTCCTCGGAGCTGGCGTCGGACGTGGTCCGCGCCTTTCAGATCGCGTCCGGCGAACGGGTCCTTCGCTTCGACTGGGATTTCGCCAAGGAACGGGTGAAAGCAAGCGTTGAAATTTGCTTTTTGAAAAACATGTTCGCTAGAAAAACACGATTTTTTAAAGTTTAAAGAATAATAGATGTTCTTTAAGAACGTTTCTCTTGAAGCGATGGCAGGAACGGGTGAAGAAGGCGAAGTTCGATCGAAAGAGAGAGATCGACCAATGGGACGAATGTCTGGCGATGACCTGTGGAGAGACGAATTCGTTGTCGGAGATCTTCATCTGTGGACAGAAAAAAATGACGCAACGGGCTTTGAACTCCATCCTTTGTCATGAATCTCTTCACAATTTGGCGCGACGGGCACGAAGAGGAAATCCCTTCCTGGCAGAAGACACGGAACACATGGCCATGGCTCTTCTTGGCGATCCGCAGTTGGTGCACGAACCCAGCTTGGCGCAAACTTGAAGCTACGAACGGGGCTCCTGGCACTACAAGGATCTACAAGAAACAAGCCACTACAAGGTCTTGAGGTTTGAGAACGGAAGAACCCACAAGACCTGAACGGTTTCGCTTCGTTTTGGGAGGTCGCCCCCCTACGGCCTGTCAATCGGACGGCAGGGCGACCCGAAAAATCGGAGAAATCGAATCGGGCTCCTGGCCATACTAGGAGCAAGGGCCTTACTAGGAACAATGTTTGCTAACAAATATTAGAGAATTAGAAGAACTAGAAGTGACATTTTGGTTGCCGATTTCGCCGATGAATTCGGAGAATGTCAGATGTGAATCGTGAGGGATTTGAAGATTCTTTGTCACATACGCACACAATCCATTGTTTGTTCACTTCATCTTGAATTAGATTAAATTAACTACTAGCTTTTTGTTACTACTAAGGCACTTGTTACTAGTAGCGATGCACTTGTTACTAATGCACTTCATTTTGTTTCTTTGTTTCCGATTTTTCTTGAGGTGTCTCTTTCTGCGAACACCGTTGCCCGCTGTACATAGCGCCGAACGACGGTGGAAAGAAACAGACGGATGACATCACATATTTTAAAAAATGTCTAGACACATTGAAAGACACATGTTGCATTTCACCATTCTTTCGAAGACTTGTCGAACATATGTCTAATATCTATAAAAAAAAAAGGGAGAAAAAGTCAAGACCTGACAGAAAATCATTGACACTTGTTCAAATGATGTAAAACAGTTTTTGGAACATCATTCGTGAACTCTCCTGCGTCCTAGGTAGTAGCTACTTAGCTACTTGTTCACTACTAGTTCTCCTGCGTCCTAGCTACCTCTCCCTAGTCCTCTCCCTACCTCTGCTGGCGGCCTCCCCCCCTAAATAGGATACTAAACAGTAAAGTTGTAGACTAAGTCATACATTTTATAAGAAATACTCAAACATATATTATATGTTTAAATAAGAGATATAATTATATCTATTTCGTTTTTCGCCGCTGTTCAAAATTGGCAGGCTTGGCGCCTCGAGGTGCAGGGTCGACATGGAAGACGTTTACTAAATATAAATACAAATAACTAGTAACTTACCTAATTACTAATAACTTACACTATATCTTGTTTAAACATGTTCCAAACCTCGACCCAGTTTCCGCACCTCATTTGGGCACCGTCGAGAAGAGAGCCGAGTCCGGCCGAGCGCGCGTGCGAAGCTTCCTCTGTCGCCGAGCAAACAAAAAGAATGCTTCTTGTTACTACTAGCGATGCACTTGTTAGTAGCTTCTTGTTTCTACCTGAAGTCGGCCTTAGCGTCCTTCTTCCTAGTAGCGATGCCAGGAGCCCCGTTCGTAGCTTCTTGTTCGTAGTATGACCAGCCAAGTGGTACGTGTTTGCTCGGTCTGGGCCGCCCTTTCGCCGCAGTCAATGTAAGGAGAAAGAATCGACGCAGTACTTGATGTGAAAACGTTCTCAGGTGGATGCGAAAATTTGTTTCGTTTCTATTTTCTTATTCTTCTTTTCTTTTTCTATTGACTGTTTAATTTTCTTTTCCATTTTACACTTTTCGCAAAATGCTTGACTTTGGCATCTCTCGCCGGGCTCAAGGCGGTCGCTGTGCGTGCGCGTCGCTGACGAACCCACGGACATGTGTGGCAGTGTGGCAAAACACAGACATCATATAGAAAGAAATGGAACACATAATGAACACAAAATTGAAAACCAATATAGAAAGGAGTTCAAAGGAAAGATATGAAGTTAAACGTCATGTTTTTGAAATATTTGATCTTTAAACTCTTTAAAACGTTCTAGATGAAAATAAAACGACTCCGATTTTGTTAATTTGTTTTCCCTTTGTCAAAGTCGGAGTCGTCTCAGATCGCCCCATGGGTCAGGGACCGAAAACGAGAACGCCGAGTTTGGACGAAACGATGAACGTAACGGAACGAAAGAAACATAAAGAAACAAACTACTAACTTCTTGTTACTACTAGCGATGCACTTGTTACTACTAGCGATGCACTTGT